CGGGGTGGGGCCGGGGGGGGGGGGGGGGTTGCACGGGATGGGGCCCGGTGAGAGTGACCTTGGTGGTATTCAGCCCCCAGGACTCAGGTCTGGAGTGTCAAGGGCCCAGCCTGCCTTTTGACCTCCCCGAGCTCCAAGGTACCACGTGTATAAAAGGGGCAGCTGATCTGACCTCACCACGCGGCTGTGAGGTGACACACCGAGCCCCCGGCACACAGTCGGTGCTCAGGAAATAAGAGCCACGACGGGGTGACCTGTCCCTGGTGCCCCAGCGAGCTGGACTCAGAACAGAGCCTGTCCGCAGCTCCCGTCGACAGGCCCAGCTCCGCCCCCGCTGCCAGCACCCACACCCCCTGCGTCCTCCCCCAGCAGGAGCAGGCGTGCGCGGGGCCGGCCAGCCGAGGCGGGGCTGGCTGAGTCTTACCCAGTGGCGGTCCGTGGGTTACCAGGACGTCTACGCCTTCGGGAATGAGGTTCCACTTCTCGAGCAGCGCTTGGCCTCGCGGGAGGTTAAAACCCCAGCCGTAAAACCAGGGCTGCCTGTGGGAGGAGAGCACGTGGGTCAGAGAGGGCCACCGAGAGTGGGGGCAATGACATGGCAGGAGAAGCAGGCCATAGTGCCAAACGGCCATCAGGGCTGGCCAGATGCCCAGAACCTTCCGTCCAGGGAAAGGTGTGGATTCACCTGGACTTGACCAGCCTTTTTCCTTTTTCTATGATGAACAAGTATTATCTATGTAATTTTTTTTTTTTTTTTTTTTTTGCGGTACGCGGGCCTCTCACTGTTGTGGCCTCTCCCGTTGCGGAGCACAGGCTCCGGACGCGCAGGCTCAGCAGCCATGGCTCACGGGCCCAGCCGCTCCACGGCATGTGGGATCTTCCAGGACCGGGGCATGAAACCCGTGTCCCCTGCATCGGCAGGTGGACTCTCGACCACTGAGCCACCAGGGGAGCCCTATCTATGTAATTTTTGAAAATGAAAGTGAAAAAGAAAATCAACTTCTGCCAAAGGGCTCTCTTGTTCCAAGCCCTTCTAGGGAAATTCAGAGAACATTCTCACCTGTCCCCATGGTGGGAGAATGCTCCTCCATCCATCCTCCTTCCTACATTTGGGGCAGGTGGAGCCCCACCCAAGAGAGAGTGGGTCCCAGGTGGAGATGCTCCTTCCCGCCTCTACCCAAAGCTCCCAGCAGGGGCTCCACCGGGCTGAGTCCACCCCCAACGTTAAGGTCAGGGCTGGGTGGACCGAGGCCATTTAACGGAATTCCTACCTGTCGCCCAACCCGGACCTAGACTGATCAGTGCAAGTCATTCCCCTCGATGGGTTCAACGGTGAGCATGTGACCTAGAACCTGCCAGTTGGAGGGAATTCCAGACGTTTCTTTCAGTGATGAGAGAAAAGAACACTGTCATCCCTGCATACAAACCACTGAGCTTCTTGCCTTGTGAGCTGTCAGTACCTGTTAAACTGTCCCAAAGGGAGATGGCTGGTGCACGTGACCCAGGGGAGCAGCTGGATCAAGTCGCACCTGACACCCACCATACCTCTGCACTTCTCCGTTACCTGGGCCAACAGAAAGCCATTTGAGTTGGGTTTTCATTTACAACAAAAGTATCCCAACTAAGAATTAGCCCTTAGGCCTAAGTCATTATAAGTTCCCCACATGAACCCAGCTCTTTAGCATTTACAAAGTCACCATCATCACCACCAACACCACCACCTTTACTATCATCACTGTGGTGGGTCAAATTGTGTCCCCCCTAAAATATATGTTGAAGTATCAACCCAGTACCTGTGAACGTGACCTTATTTAGAAATAGGGTCTTTGCAGATGGAATCAAGATGAGGTCATACCTGATTAGAGTGGGTTCTAATTCATGACTTGTGTCCTTATAAGAGGATCACGTGCAAACACAGACAGAGAGAGGAGAAGGCCACGTGACAATGGCCGTAGAGATTGGAGTGATGTGTCTACAAGCCAAGGAGCCCCAGGCTGCCAGCAACCACCAGAAGCTGGGAGAGTGGCGCGGAACAGATCCTCCCTTAGTCCCCGCAGCAAGAACTAACCTTGGTGACACGTTGATTTCAGACTTCCAGCCTCCAGAACTGCGACAGAATCAATTCCTGTCGTTTGAAGCCACACGGTTTGTGATAATTAGTTATGCGGCCCTAGGAAACTAATATAATCGCCATTACCACCATCACCTCCCCACCTGCCGCCCCAGGGACCTCCACACCTGCAGCAAGGTTGACAGACAGGTCTCTCTCTTTCTGTTTTATGGGTGAGGAGAGCGAGGTCCAGGGAGTAGAAACTAAAAATTGTCGCCGGCATTTCCCGCACACCTATTTTTTTTGCCAGGCGTCATCTAATTACATTATAGGGATAAGTTTATCTAACTGTCAAAAGAATCCTGTGAATTAAGGGCTGGGATTATTCCCATTTTTCAGATGAGGACCCAGGGGCTCAGAGAAGCGAGCTGGCTCAGGGATCTGGGCCCCGTGAGGCCAGGCACCTCACGTCCATTCGCTGACATACTCTGCACGAGTTGGTAGTGGGGCTGGCCTTTCACACTCAGAGCCTCTCGTGTGTCAGAGCTGCCACTAACATCCCTCTCATGGCCCAGGAGCTCCTCCGTGGGAGGCTGACACCCCTAGCTGTTGACCCAACGTCTCTACTGCGTTGGCAGCCACCCAATGCACCTCTGTGGAACCCTAGGGGTTCCATGGAACAGCATTTGAGAACCCCGCTTTAGTCCCTCCATGGCAGGTTCTGGACAGGAAGACTGAGGTTCAGCGAGAGGAAGGGAGGTGCCCAGGGTCACACAGTGGTCAGTGAAGAAGTCATTCTGGAACCCAGATCTGACCCTCTCTCCCAGCTGCCGTCAAGCCTGCAGCGCCAAATCCTGGAACGTGGGTTGTGAAGGAAGAGGGTGAGTGGCCATGCTGGTTGGTCATTTGGGGTCAAAGGTGCTTTCGCCACTTCAGACACCTGGGGGATCCCGTCCGCTGCCAGGCTTTGCTTGCCCGTGACCCACGCCTGGGACGCCGGGTCCCTCCTCTCCTCCTGCCTGCCCCTGACCCCACGCCACACATATCCTTCCAAGCCCTCTGTGCTCCATCTTCCTTCCCACCCCGAGTGACGGGCACCTGCCCGGGGAGGAGCAAATGTTTGTTTAACAAAAGGTGTTGAGTGACGGAGGGCTGGATGAATGAATGAAGTTGTTAACGGGATGTCGAACAGGACTCTTCCTGTTGCCTTGGAATCGCAGCCAAAACTTCAAAGCTGAACACGATCCCCAACGCTGGAATGAAAGCCCCCAGGTACACCCAGGGAAACGTACTGAAAATGAGCAGAATATGCCAGGCCGCCGTCTCCCCACGCCCCTACCAGCCTAAGTTTTGATCCTGAGGGAGACTCGTGGCTCCTGTCTTGTTCTTGTGGGGGGATGGGGTTCACCCACACCCAGCCATGAGTGGCTTCCAGGGGGACCACCTGTACAGGTGGGGGCCTGGGGATCTGTCCTCTGGGCCCGTGAGAGGAGAAACAGACAGTGAAGGGGCAGGCGCACAGGAGCTGTCTGCACCCCCAGGTTTGGGCTGTCCCAAGGGATCCCCACCCACAGGAAGTGCCCACCTAGTGACGAGACCAGGTGGCCGGGGCCGGGGAGGGCAACTGGGTGGGTGGCACTGGGCAGTCCCTCGGAAGCCGCCTACTCCCTCAGTCACACCCGACTCAGGCCTGCTTTTGCGCTTCCGCAGAAAGCTGAGGGTTCTCTCTGCAGAATGGGTCCACCTCTAACTACCTGTGTGACCTTGGGCAAGTGGCTTAACTTCTCTCTATGCCTCAATTACCCCATCTGTATAATGGGCATAATAACAATATCCTTTGCCTCAACAGGGCTTTGAAAGGATTAAATCAATTAATCCATGTAAAGTGCTTAAAACGGTGCCTGGTCCAATGCTTTGCCACTGCCCTCATCTCCATCACCATCATCATCCCCAACACCATCATCCCCAACATCGACACCGTCACCACCACCACCATCACCATCGTCATCTCCATCACCACCACCACTACCATCATAACCATTATTATCATCATTACCATCATCAATACCATCACCACTACCACCACCATCACCATCATCATCACCATCATTACTATGGACCCCTCCTGAAACCCACTCACGGAACCTGGATGAAAAACCTTTGGCCCAGGGCAGGGTTTTTCAAACTGCATTTTGAAGGGTCAAACAGCATTTTAAAAAAATAAAGGAAAAGGGGGAAATAAAGAATAGACAACATCAGAGTACATCATAGCACGGAAGGGATACTTCAGTTAAATATATTTATATTTAAATAGACACCCACATAAGGGTGCACTGAGTCACAATGTAAAAAAAACAAATGCTTTTCCTACCACGGTTCCTGGTCAAAAGCAGTTGGCAGCCCTAACATACTGAGCTCACAGCTCTGCAATTTCTGAAGCCCTCAGACCCTGGGCGTACTCAAAGCCCCACTTTGGCTAAGCCAGGGCGGGGTCCCTGCAGGGAAGGCTGCAGCAGCCTGGAAGCTGCTCATGACGCCAAGCCCACTAGTCCCCCCAGAAGCCCACAGCCTGTCAGCTCACAGCAAAAGGAGCAATGCCTTTCTGCTGCCTTCCAAACACAGCATCCATTTTTCAAAAACCTAATCAAATATTTACAAGAGGGGACAAGGCCTCATCAGCATGGAGAGGAGGCGTCTGTGAGCTCCCATGAGCCACAGCAAGGAGTGACTTTTTGGAAAAGACACTCTGTAACATATCAGAGACCCCACAGACCCCCAGGAGCTGACCCACACGAGCCCCTGCCTACGTCCCCCTCCAGTACTAACGAGCCTTCCTCTGGGGGTGGCGTTTCCCCATAGATATACCTCCGTGGTTCTTGGAAACACATCACCTCAAATCCTGGGAAGGTGGAATCCACCCTGCCCCCTGGGATGCCCGGAGGGGTTGCTCAAGGGCACGGAAGTTGGCATCAGACACTCTGGCTCTGCCCCTGGGCTGGACGCACCCAGACTCTTTCACCGTGTAAACTGGGATAAGGATGCCTATGGCCCCAGATCTTACCCCATGAGGGCAGGGGGTGCTTCTTGCTCGATGCTGTACCCCACCCATTGCCTGACACAGAGGGGAGGGAAAGAAAGTGGGTGGGAGGAGGTGTAAGGGAATGAAATTGCACCATCATCGCAAAAATGCCTCCAAATTCCCAGGAGCTCTGTCACTGGGAAAAGGGGATGTTCTGGCCTTTACTGAAATTTGTGGGGAGGAGGAAAAGTCAGGTCATGCATGGAAACGTCCAGAGGAGACATTTCTCAGGGCGGCCCGCAGGTGGGGAGGCCTTTCTCAGGGGTGGCCAAGAGCAGGGCCAGAGCAGCGGGAGAGACGGACTCTTCTGGGTGACCTCACTCCCCAGGGTCTGGAAAAGCCTTCGGCCACTCCTGCGTGACGTCCATCCAGGTTTGTGTCATGGGAATGGGAGCCTAAGGGATGGGGGGC